CAACTTTTTATCATGATCAGTGTCTGTGATCTGAAAAGATGAACGTGCCTCTTTTCAAAACTTAGAGCAAAAATCAAGAGAGTTTTTGAGTCACCTGCTTATGCATGAATTAATTGCTTTGGTCAGAGAGAATAACATCCCTAGGAGAAATGGACCACTTTTAAAGAGAGAGTCAGCCCCACGTGCCCCATGGACCGAGTCTATTGTCAGTAAAGGAGACGAAGGAGCACTGGTATAAAAGAGAGGTTCAGTAATCAGAGAATTGTAAATCGAAACCTTAGTGGCCCTTTACACACTCGAATTGGCAAAAATTACAAAGTCTGATAACACTGAGTGTTTGCAATGAGGCAGAGCTACGGGAACTCTCCTACTCACCAGGAGAAATGTGAATTGATAAAACCAGTTTGGAAAGCAGTTCCTTACTATCTAGTAAATTCGAAGTGCATTGTATTTACTATCCTATACCTAAATATAAGCTCTAGAAAATTTTGCCTGAGTAGAGAAGACTTGTAGGAGAACATTTACAGCATCATTGTTACTGATTCTAATATCCTAGAAACAACCTAGATTATCAGTGGAGAATGGATCACTAACTTCTGGTATATCAGTATATTATAGCTTTGAAGATAAATAAACCAGAGCTACATGTATGAAAATAAATGAATATCACAAATCTAATACTGTATGAAAAAATCCAGTCACTGAAAAATACAAGTAATTTAAAGGGCGCGGGCAGGTGCGGGGGCTGTAAGACGAATCTTTGGCAGGATCCTATGAGGACTGCAAACACCAAAGGCTCAACAGCTTTTGTTCTGAAACAGGCCTCCCACTTTCCCACTCAATACACTTCGCATGCTAGTTTCTGATGGCTCGCAGCTTATTTATATTTATGTTTTATGAAAACAATTCTTTTGTTTTGAATTTGTTTTGGGGTTTTTTTTGGCTCGTGATAATTCTAAATCAAGAATTTCAGAACACTGAATTTAGTTGACTATTGAATCTTCTTTTTGTTTTTCTCATGAGAATTTCTAATCTTTTAATACTTTTTTCAAGACCTAGAAAATATTGACAGACATATAAAATTCTAGAGAAAAAAATCCATTAGGATATGCTTGAGAAAAACACACTAGAGACAATCACAGATATTTATTTTGAGCTATGCCTTGTTTTCTTAAACCAATACTAAATAGTACCAAAAGGCCCCATGGTAGTATATCGTGTTAGCCCCCTTGGAGATTTTTATTGAAGAAAATTTTTCAATTCATATGTTTGACTGATTTAATGTAGAAAATGCAAAGATAGTAGATGAATTATTTGACCCTCTCTACTTGACAATAAAACATGCCTTTGGCTACTAAATATAAGAAATGTGAATGTTCCAAAACAGCAATGGAACAGTCTCTGAGGGGAACAAGAAATTTGTCTTGATGCTGTTTGGTTTGTTTGCTTTTGAAGAATATATATAGAATATTACATGAACTAGAGAAAATATTTGGATATATATTGAATACTTCAATTCTTTATGGAACCTGTTATTTTGCTTACATATTTTCTCTCTTTTCCTACCAATTCTCACTTCTCCTATCCCTAACTATTCTTTATTTGATTTTGAAGTTGCTGACATAAACTTCTTCAGAAATTGTCCTAAGGAAGCAGTTAGTCTTTATTCTCTAGTTAGCCTGTTGGTGTTTAGGATGAATAATAAAAAACAGAATTGCCTGGATAACCCTGTTTCCCAGGATCGATTTGCTAAGGAATCAGAACTCCTTACCCAGAGTCATTCAGGCATGTTGCTCTCTGAGAGTTCTGGAAACCTCATTGGTTGGAATACATTTGAACTGGACATCACTGCACCTGAACAACTGGATCCTGAGTTGAACTAGTGTGAAGAATATGTGATACTAGGAACATGCAAAACAGCATAAGACAATACAAAGCATGCTAAGATATAATAAATTTGGTTTCGTATAGTCTAATACCTTAGCATTAAACATAAGTATTCACAACAATGCAATATGTGCCAATCACATATATTTACTGTTTTCCATTTGCAGAAAAACAATGTACAGAAGCACAATACATTCAAAATTTTTTCTGATTTAAAGTGTTTATTTACTATCAATGCATTGCTAATTGCTTGCAATTTGCCTTCTGTGATTATACTGATATGTTGAATAGAGTGTAGTCTGCAGTAATTATATATATATGTCTGTGTATATACATATATAGATCGATCGATCTATCTATCTATCTATCTATCTATCTATCTACACACACACATACTTAATTGGATAATTCTGCCTGTATTTATTTATGACCTAGGTGCATCTCTTCTATTCTGAGTACATAAATATTTTCTTATTTGCTTTGCTTATATAAATTTAATGAATTAAGATTTCGACTCACTTTTTCATACCCTACTTATACTTCTAATAGTTTATGACATACAATATAACATTTTATGTTAATAAAATATCCAATATAACATTTTTATGTTAAAAAAGTATCTCTCGTATAACGACATTAAGTATTATGTTAAGAAAAGTTTTGCTAGTGTGTATACATATTGTTTGTGCATATATTGTGTATGTGTGTGTGTGTGTGTCTGTGTGTGTGTATAAAATATGAGAGTGAGAGAGAGGTACATTAACTTACTATACATAATGTGAGTTAATTTACCATGATATCATTAAAATCAGTGACATATTGTGTGGATAAACTCACCCAATAATTAAGTATATTTGAAGGAAGCAACATAGCATATGTGTTAAGGTTTTATGTGTATAATATCTATGATATCTTTTGGGCAGCTCAGATTTAGTGTATATCTGAGTCCCTTGAAGAAAGTTTGAAATAGGCCTCAAAACTCAGAGATAACATTTTTGAAGACATCGTCCTCAACCATAGTTTTTAAACATAACCCAGTTGGGCTACTATGTTCAAAGATTAAAAGCACGATATAGACACACTAGACAGACTATAATTAGAAGACCACATACTCAACTGAATATAGGATGCTGAAATAATGTTTGCAAGATCAAATGCAATGACTGTAATCAAAGTTAATAGGTCATCCAGGTTTTTTCCAATGTTGTCATTAAATTCCATAGGAAAGATCTTTGCTTTAATTTTTAAAAAATAAATAAATAACAGATTTTTTAAGTAGAATTTACACTGTTTTAAATTTGATAGCCCATAAAGTTAACACAAATGTTATCTTAACATTGTCTTCCTGAAGCTTTTCAAATTTTCTGTGTGGACCTGAAAACACGTATGTAGTTTTAGAGTATAAGAAAAATATACATCTTGTTTTCAGAGAAAGCATCCCACGTGTCAGGATTTGGAATTGCATTTTTCCTTTGGTTAAGTGCTCCCCAGAAGCTATGATGTGAGAAGGTATAAGTTACTAAAGCCAGTGGGTAGGGGTTGGGAGGAGGGCTAAGGTGGGGATTAGCACTAAAGAAAAGTAAAGAAAGCTAAAGTCTAGAATTCAACCTGTCTAACATTCTTCTACTAAGTGGCCACTAGAAACCAGACACAATTTTAAATTTGGAGGATATCTTGGAATACACAGAAGATCTCATGTTTTGAATTCCATAGGGTCGTATATTTAACAAGTCATAGCATTACATTTTCTTAGTTCAAGCTGCTATAACAAAATGCCATAGGCTTGATGGCTTAAACAACAGAAATGTATTTCTCGCAGTTCTGAAGGCTGTGAAGTCAAACATCATGGTTCCAACAGATGCAGTGTCTGGGGAGAGGCTCCTTCCTGGCTTACAGCTGACCAACTTTTTCTGTGTCCTCACTTGGGGTGTCGCAGAGAGAGAGAAAGCAGTTTATTTGTGTCCTTTTATAAGGGTACTAATTCCATTCACAAGGGCTTCACCTTCATGACTTAATTACCTCCCAAATGCCCCACCTCTTAATACCATCACATTGGGAGGTAGGATTTCAACATATGAATTTTGGGCAGACAAATATTGAGTCTGTAGCATATGAAAAAACAAATATAAGGAAGTATGCACAAAGTGTTGTATGTCTAGGTCCTTGTGCCTGCATTGTACCTTACAAGAGTTTCTGATGTAGGTAGCCGAGGAGGGATTTTCTATACATGAACAGGAGGGGAAGATCAGATCCATATATGAAAAGAAATAAACTGATGTTATGAAAATAATAATTCCTCACCCCCTAACTAGTTTGATTTTCTTACTGAACCCCTCCAAACTCTCAAATTAAGTGTTTTCTGTATATGAAAGCAGACTTTGTAATTTGTAAACAGATTAATATACAAAATTATTCAATAAGTTAGAAATAGAGTTCCAATTCTATGCTATAATTAGATTTATTTAATATTATATTTTAATAAATGAGGAAATTATTGATTGAGTTATACATTGGGGAGCACTAAAAACAAATACATGTATATGTTATATGTATATGTAGATATTTACAAAATTGTAAAATGGATTCATATTCAGTTATAGTAAAGAGTGAACAAATTTCAGTATTAGACTGTGTGAAATGTAGAGTAACTAACAGCTTACAACTAAATAACACTTGTCAAGTACCTTGTGATATATAGCAAGTGCGAGCACTATTTTCTGTTTGCAGAAAGAAAACGTGAGTCATTCCGTCTACAAGTATTTATTGATCAGGTGCCAAGTATAATGCCAAGTCTTCAAGTTGCAACTAAGAACAAAGCAAACACTGTCTCTCATGGTGTATATGCAGAGTTTTTGACTAGCTAAACCCACAAACCTTGTTAGGACTATGTCATGTCAGGCATTTAGATGTATGCCCAACCATTCTAGCCTAGCAATATTCTACGAAATAAGATGGCCTCTGAATGTATAACAATTAAAAATATTAATTCAGGTGTAAAACATACTGCAGAAATAAACTAAATAATATATGTATTTCTCTTATCTTTCTAAAAAATACATGTTAATGATTTCCTGCATTCTGGTTTCATTCTTAAACCTTTCCTCTGACTGTAGGAGCTGATGCTGTGGAAGCTCAGTGTAAAAGATTTGAAGTGAGAGCGAGTGAAGATGGCAGGGTGCTGTTTTCTGCAGAGGAAGATGAGATTACCATTGGGGCTGAAAAGCTGAAAGTTACAGGTACTGTAGATTGAGGTCTTGAAACATCGTTTAATTCTTGAAAGAATATGCAACTGAACAAGAAGCTGCTTTACAAAATATGTGATCCCCATATCTAAAGTTGAGTCTCACGTAATATCTTGATATCGCACCATTTGATATTCCAGTAGTTTTCACATAGAAGGGACTGGTTGTGGATACAGAAGAGAACGTAAATATTAGCCTTAATCATGTGAAAGTAGAGCTATGAGTCTCAGGAAAGGATGGCCGGAGGAGAGTGGGTAGGGATGGTGGAAGATAAGATAGAAGTCTAGCACTGAGAAAGCTAACTAAAACTGATAGACAAATAAACTTACCTGTAACTTAGAGGTATTATATAAAAATAAAAGATATGCAAAAGAAGAACTAAAATATAAATATCAACTTTAAAATGAAGTAGAGGGAAAGGTTATACCATAAGTAAACTAAATTTTTGTTCTTTAGGGATCTTAATTATCGAAAATATATAAATCAAGAAATAGTGCTAATCACATATTATTTAGAAGTTATTAAAGTCATTTTTCTAATATTAGGGCCATTAAAGTCAATCACCAACTGAAACTGAAAAGCAAAAACAAAAAAAAAATTTTTTAAACAATAAAGTTAAAAGCAAGACTGGAAGTGGGGAAGAATTTTATGAAGACTATTTTAAGCATAATCTCTTCTGAATTACTTGATCCATAACAATAATACATATTTGATAAAATATTTTTTAAATAACCAAAGAAACCTATGTTATTTTTAAAAAATGAAATATATTTTGACTTAGTGTTTCTCAAATCTAAGTTTGGGAATAGCTCATGGGATATCTGTCACATCTGTTTAGGTTCAACTAAGTCCTCTGGGCCATGTGAAAGCAGTTAGCATGGTAATTGACCTCTGCTCTCCCTGGTTTTTTGGATTGAATTCTGCTTCTACCATTCAATACTTTAAATAAACTCCCTGTACCTCCAACTTACTTCATCTAAATGATGGAAATGATAATAACTTCAGTGCCCAAATTAAATTAGTGTGTGCATGTGTGCGCACGCATGTTTGTGTTTTCTGCATGTAATGAAGACATTGTAAAGGTTAGCTCTTTATTCTTATTAATAAAGAAAATTAATTTATCCATGTCCCAGGCATGAGTGCCTGAGTGGATTTGAAGAAAGATGTAGTATTAAATAACAGTGAAATTCAACAAGGCTTTTTGAATGGGGATCCTCACTGGCATCATTGGCTGGGTCACAATCTACTACCATCATCCCTACTGATCTCCATAGCCTCCTATCTTTTGTGAGTGTTCTGCTGAGTAACTGGAACTTGTAACATCAGGGTGGTGTTTAGGGGGTGGCAGGGAGGCCGTGAGTGCCCATCTGCCTTATTTCCTTTTTTTCTTTCTTATAACTCCTTGGAAAGGTCAGGACAGGAGGCATACATGTGGGGCAAAAAATGACCAAATTCATTTTCCTAAATCCTTATATATGGGGAAGCATAAGGATTATGGTTGGCATGGAGCACAGACATATCAGAAGAACATTAAGTTTGGGACTCTTGGTGCTAACATTTGAATTGCAAGTTGGTTAGTGGGACAGTGGGGGACCGGATAGAAATGCACTCAGGAGGATTGGGCAGATGTGAATTCAATATTTAACAATCTTTGAACCTTGGTAGTCCCTACTCGTTATCAACTTTGATACCAACATAATCCTGAGACAGCATTTAGAACGTTACCCACTTACTCTAAAATTATTTCATCAGTATTCAGATATTCTCATTGTGTACTTTGCATTCATAAGTGAAGTTCTAGAGCTCTTGACAGCTTTTATGATTCATGAAATCTTAACTTTCTTTGATCTTTATATTATCTTGACTTGTCTCATAACAGTTGCAGTGAAGTGCTGTCTTCACAAAATTGGACACATTAACTAGTTT